TCTTTCCCTTTTATGGCCTACAAACAGCTGAAGACAGACATTTCATTTGAGGGGAACTCATTCTGACTAAACTACCTACCTCACAGTCATTTTTATTATCAGTCTTTTTAAAATGTTAAATCTACTGCCCAGCCAGCTGTATCAATTAGTGGCAGAGGGTTGACATGAGCAGAGATGATAATCCCTCCAACCCACTTTGTCAGGAGCAGCAAAGGACACTCATGGGAAAGGCTGGGTGGTCTCCTGAATGACATCATCACCCCATCACCCCACGGAAGGATTTACCAGTCATTTCCAGCTTCTCTTCAATGACCCTTGATGGGTTTATTGATGTATGAGTCAAGGGGATGAGTTTTTTCTTCATTTTCCTGTAGTACAGTTTTAGATTTCAGTGGCAGAGAAGTAGAGGTTGAAGGGCCCAAACCTGCCGCTTCTAGGGTGGTGTCTGGGTGCTAACATTTGTGTGGATATGTCAGGTCACTTCCTTGCCCAAGCCACAGGAGCTGTACAGAGTGACTCCATACTGTTCAAGGCTTAGCCTAGTGTAGGTAGAAAATACTTCCTATGAAATGGAAACCATGTAAACTTTAAGAACATGTTGTACCATCAGGGCTCAAATAATTATTTTGAATCAACTGCCTCAGAATGTGAAGTCCTGGAATGTGACCGGTTGTAAGCATAACACTGTAAAATGCTCTCATTGCTCTGTTAATAAATGATCCTAACTCACTGTAGGGTTTTTGTTTGCTGTTCATTTTGTTTAAAAGGTTTAAAGCTATCTCCTACTACCAATTGTTAATGTAATATTTATTATAGAAAATTTGGTGGGGAGAGGGTATAGAAGAGATGGCAAAAAATTATATGTGACCCTATCACCCAAAGATAGTTGCTATTAACATTTTAATATGTAGTCTTCTAGTTTTTTCATTTATGCACATATATAAATTATTCTTTTGTTTGAATTTTAAACAAAAAATAGACTTATGCTGTGCATTGTGTTTTGCAAACTGTTTTTTAGTTTAATGACATTGAACACCTTTGCATGTTATTTTATATTCTTCTACAGCCTCATTTTTAATGGTTGCATACTATTCCTTCATATAGTTGTAGAAAAATTACTTTAGGCAATTCCCTACTCTTGGACCTTTTTTTTTTTTTTCATATTTTCCACTATTATAATTAACACTGTGTTGAACCTAAACCAATGGCTAACTTTTAGCATAGATATAAGATTATTTTCTTGGGATTAATTTCTTAGAAGTAGAATTTGGAGGCAAAGTATTATGCATTTTAAACCTGTTGTTTGGGGTTTTTGTTTTGTTCTGTTTTTCTAAATAGTCCTCCAATCAACAGTGTAGGCTTATGTTCTCAGTAATACTGGGTACTATTTTAAAAATTCTTTTCCAACTTTACAAGTGGAAAATAATATCTCACTGTTGTTTTAATTTAAGGCAGACCATCTTGATGGTCATTTTCTTACTGGCCAAATCCAGAGAAGCCTGGAAATATCATTATGATGACATACTTCCCAAAATACCAGCAAGACTAGAAGTCTGGTCTTCTCTTTCAGACTGAAATTTTTTGCTTAGAATGTTTTGAAAGCAACCATATTCTTCCAGAGTCAACTCTCAAAATATCTGCCCACAGAAACCACAATCCATAAAGTAGTAAAACATGCTAATACAGTCTAGACTGGCCATTGACTGCTACGGGGAAAGTCATCTAATGATCTGAATCCACAAATAACACTAGGTAGTGTTTTCTATGCTGCTAAATAGCATTCCAGTTACTGTCCTGGAGCTCGAAAGTATTTATTCAGTTCAGTGGCCCTAATTTTTTCCTCCAAGCTATATTTGCACCTTACTATTATACAAAGTTCAGCAAAGGTCCAAGAATGCAAAGCTATTAGTTTTTAAAATTGAGGTTTGGCTGAGGATTTATTCACGAAGCATCCTAGGTTTATGGCTTTGGCCTTCCCCTAGCCAGAGCCAGACTAAGGTTCCAGCTCCCTTATTTAGCATATGAACTATGTTTATTTGACACATACCTCTTCTAAAGAGATGACTAGCATCAACACATATATAATGTCTAACCCAGTATGATTTATGCTAAACTGCTTTACGTTAACCCCGAGATATGCAGTAACTCTTTCCATTTAGTTATTCACAAAAAAGTATACTCTTTGGGTGAGAAACAGATAAAAGTCATTCACTCTTCGGCAATTAATTGGGCAATGATTATATACTAAATATCGTTCCAGATGCTGGGTATGTAAATTGAACTAAGTCAACTATGCCATCCATGGTTTCTGTCCTCACGGGGTTTACACTCTATGGCAACAAATGTTATATCAGCACAGAACAAGAGTCCTGGCAGGTCCTATCCCTACTGCCTCTGCCTTGTAGCTTCTTCCATGATTATTTGAATCTAGTTATCTGTAATATTTATCATGACCACATTTATAAACATAAATTTATATGTATTTAAAGTTTTCAGCAAAGCTTATTACACATTACATGTACTAGGTAGACAACTACTGGTATGTTATACTGATTTAAAATTTACAAATGGTTTCATATATATTATCTCATGTAATTCTCATAACAACCAGGTGAAATGATATACGAGTCAGGGTTCACCGGAGAAACAGACTAAGACAAATGCGTGTGTGGAAAGAGGAGAGAAAAAGAGAGTAAGACAAAGAATTACTTTAAGGAATTGACTCGCACAAGTATGGAATCCGGAAAGTTCAGGTTGTAGTGTGGACCAGCAAGTTGGAGACCCAGGTGAAGAACCAATGTTGTGGTCGAAGCCCATTCCTTGCTGCTGGGGGTAGGTCAGTCTTCTGTTCTACTCAGGGCTTCAACTGATTTGATGAGGCTCACCTACATTATGGAGGTCAATCTGCTTGACTCACAGTCTACCAGTTTAAGTGTTCATTTCATCCAAAATGACTTTCACAGAAAGAGAATGTTCATGAAATATCTGGGTTCTGTGATCCAGACAAGTTGACACATGAAATTAACCATTACAGATACATGTCATTATCTTTATTTTTTAAATACGTAGAACCTGGGACTCCTTACGGGTTTTCCAAGGTTGCAGTTACTAAGGGCTGCTTGCAATGTATTCTCTGCTATATAAAGCTGTCTCATAAAAATCTATGATTCCTAGTGTTACAGTGCTTAACTTTTTTCATTGATTCGTATCAGTGAAACTACTCTACAGATAACCAGCATACCTTGGCATTTCTTTTGATTTTGTCTGTGTGTTCTGATACGAATTCTCTGAGTGGCCTACAATTTAATTTGATTCAGTTTTGATACTACTCAGAGTTACTGAAGATTCCACAAGTAAGAACTGAATTCTACAAGACTGTCCATTTCAGACACCAGGCACAATTTCAGGTGTCCTCAAGCCACCTGCTCTTCTGCAAGACCAACTACAAATTCGAGATTTCCTTCAGCCCCCTTAGATTTGATAATTTTCTAGAATGACTGACAGAATTCAGGAAAGCTCTGTACTGATGATTACCATATTATTATAGAGGATACACAGCCAGATGAGGAGATGATGCATGGATTAAGGATGGGCATTTGCACAGGAGCTTCTGTCTCCATGCCACCCTCCAAGTACACTGATACATTCCCTAACCAGGGTCTCTACTGAGCAGTCTCCAGAATTTTCATATGGGATTTTGTTATGTGGGCATGATTGATTAAATAATTGGTCGTGTAACTGAATTCAATCTCCAGTCCATCTCCTCTTCCAGGAGGTTGAGGGGGTGGGAATGAAAGTTCTAACCCCTAATCATAGTCTTTCGCTATGGTCAGCCCCTCCTTGAAACTACTTATGAGTCATCTCAATAGCACAGCAAAGACTCTTATCACTCGGGAAATTGAATGAGGTTTTGAAGTACTGTGCAAGAAATAAGGACAGAGGATCAGATATTTTATATGACATTTTGGCAGTGATTTTCTGGATGTACTTTGTTCTTAATGTATATTGTTCAGGGAAATTTCTCTGAAAGTCCAGAAACTTGCAAGATAAGAAACACAGATTAATGTCTTCAGTCATTCATTTATTCAACACATTTTTGCTAACTAGCTACCATGTACTGGTGCTGTACTGAACAATGGAAAACAAAGTTGGTTTTTTTCCCAAAGTTATTTTTTAGTACATGTTTGCTAAGGAATTCAGTAATAAGAACCAAGATAATGACACTTTTTCCAGTCATTGAAAGAAAATTTCATTCAATTCTGGAAAGCTCTGACTTCACTGCATTCTTCATTATTCTTTACATTTTAATTACACTCTGCTTGAGGGTTTTGGAAAGTGCTAAATTTAGCTGATG